TGTAGCCTCCACCAGCAACATCCCACTTGAGCCTTAAAATGGCAGCAGCTCTGTTTGCCTGTGCGGTAAAAAGTGCTTGTACATCCAGACTGCCACTGGTAAACAGTGAAACTGTATTTGCCAAGGGGTAAGAAGATTCTGCTATGAACAATTGTCGGGTATGCTTAAGTTCACCCAAAAGGAAAAAAACAAAAACAAAAACAAAGTTCAGAGGGATTACGAAGCAACTAGTTCTTCCATCCCTCCACCCCGCCCCCAGCCCGAATTTTAGGAATGTTATCTCTCAGCATCTAGTTATCCAATAAGTTGGAAGAATGCAGTAAACCCAGCAGGGGTCTTAGATTCAATCACTGCCAAATGGATAGAAAATACTCTTACTATTGTATAGGAAGAAATTTCATCTACTAGTGGCCAAATTCTGGAGGCACTGAAATGCTTAAAAAGTAAAACCTGTCTATCTTGATAAAAGCACTACGACTCAAGCTTATTTGGTTTTCATTCCTACATTTAAAGAGCCACAATGAGTAGATTATCTGAAGCATACAACATCTTCTACCCTCCCCCACCCCCAGGATAATTGCTTACCAAAAAAACAAAAGGAAATTATGTGCCTTGAGTATTTAACCAGTTCAAAGAAAAGTGCCTCTTTAAGCTGTTTAATTTTAGCAGTCAAATAAAGCCTTCAGCTCAATTCATAGATGGCAAATTAGACTTTAAGTTTCTACCCAATTAAGATCTAAAAAAGGCAGTTTCAAACAGCCTTGAAACAAAATTCATAGATTCTGCTGGAGAGGAAAGAGTAAACAGCTCAAAAAAAAGCTTCCTAGGCGCTAAGGCATGTGACCTCTCTCAGCTTCCAAGGTTAGAGATGTGTCCCACTCCACCCCAACTAGAGATCATGCAAGTTTGTAAACTCCATGAGGGCAGGGGCTTTTGTTGCCTTTCTCCAGAGTCCCCTTGAACAAAACCTAACACAGCCATACAATTCGTTTTGGTGGGCCCAGAGGGGCAGAGGGAAAGGATTGTGGTGACTGGCAATGCAGCTCTTGTCTGGATTTAGTGGCTTTTTAAAATGTTTAGACATTTTGGCCAGGCGCGGTGGCTCACGCCTGTGATCCCGCCACTTTGGAAGGCTGAGGAGAGCGGATCACAAGATCAGGAGATCAAGACCATTCTGGCTAACACGGTGAAACACCGTCTCTACTAAAAATACAAAAAATTAGCCGGGCATGGTGGCACGTGCCTGTAGTCCCAGCTACTCGGGAGGCTGAGGCAGGAGAATCGCTTGAACCCGGGAGACAAAGGTTGCAGTGGGCCAAGATCATGCCACTGCACTCCAGCCTGGGTGACAGAGCGAGACTCCATTTCAAAAAAAAAAGTTTAGACATTTAAAAAAAAAGGTCAAAAGTACTCTAGGTTAAAGGTGATGAGGAAGACAACTTCTGGAACTCCTCGCCATCAATTTTTCCAAGGTAGTACAACCCAGAGAAGCCAGCCAAACTCCAACATTGTTTTACTTCTGGGGCTGCTTTATCAAACTGTGTGAAGGCACATCCCAACATTTAAGATGGCAGAGGGGAAGCCACCAAATCCAACCAGCCAAGCACCAATCACAGCTGCCTTGTCAAAGATGCCAAAAAGCAAATCTCATCACATCAGCAACTACACACACAGCTCCTCGGACTCTGGGGCCGCAGCTAAAATCAAGCAGGACAAGACACCATGGGCAAAGCCATTTCAAACAGGTGCTGCAATTTACTCTAAAATGAGTAAAAATATGACTATCAATTTTGGCCTTTAATATCTGTAATTAAAGATAGCGCACTAGTCCCCAGTTTGGCATCTGGCAGGCAGCACACTGCTGTTTCTGCTAAACTGCCTCAACTGGGAGCTTAACACCATCTTGACACAAAGCAGAAATACAAACAAAAATATTTTGGTATTTTGAACAAAAATAACACTGATCACATTCCCCATTTATAGTAGGCCTTCCACAGTTGAAATTATCTAAACAGGGCATTTTATCACCACTATATAGAGGAGAACCCAAAAACTCGGGGAAAAAAACCCCACCAAGCTGGCTTCAGCTGAAAGTCACAGCCAGACTGGAATGTGGATCTCACTCTAAAACCTGACTTCCCAGGCATCAACCTAACACTTCACATTTTGAAAAAGGAAATGCTAACTATCGACTGCCTCCCAAGATGGTTCCCCAACCCACAGCCCAGGAGGAAGCTCACCAACAGCAGCTTGAATGACAAAGTATCATTTGCTTGTGCACTGCACATGTTTATTGAACAAAAAAAGCTCTTTGGCAAATTGCAGCTTCTCTCCCTGTGGGAAACCCAGATGAAGTCTAACTAGAAGGTTGGTCTGAAATGTTAACTAATGTCAAAATCTTTCTAGCCAGTGCGGGTCATTTTGGCCAGTAACTGGAATTAGGAAGTTATTGGAAACTTAGGAATCCTAATCGTTGATGTTTGTAATCCAGTTTAGCACAAAGGGCATTTGAAACCCTTTTGAGAAAATGCTAATTTTTCCTGTAAGTAATGTTAGCCCTGCGACCACCTGCAGATTTTTTGATCTGCTAATTGATCGCCAGACGTCATTTTCCTCCCTCAAAAACTACATTCTCAAATGGCTTTGCAAAATAAGACCAGCTCAATCTGCATTTAAAAAAATTATGTGAAACATATACATACATCTAAATTAGATATGTAACATATATATAATTTTAGGCAGATCAAATGCAAACAACCCAAACGCAGCCGTTAAAAACGCACTGCTTGGGAAAACCACCTTCTGTCCCAAGGAGGCAATTGGAGGCTCTGCAAACACATTCTAGCAGCCAGGAGTTATGACCCAGAGTTCCAGATTTGGCAAAGACCAGCGGGTACAGATGGCTATCGCGCCGACGACCGGCATGAATCCCCTGGGGTACCCATCCTTGGCCCAGCCCAGTACTCTCCATTAGCACCCCCTAACCGTCCCGCCCACCAGGTGTGTGCCGGTACCTGCGGAGGGACCCGCCTCCCAGCAAAGGGCTAGGCTTCAAGCTGGGCCTCCAGGGGGCGCCCGCGCGCAAGCCGGGTGGGCTGTCCGCAACAACCCCGATGATCAATGGCCAACTCCCCTCCCAAATCGCGGTGGCAGCGCACGGCCAGACCTGAGAGCTCAGCTCAACTCAGGTTGACTCTGATTCCAAACTCCAACCTGCGTTAATTTCAAAAGCTCTCCCGTAACAAGCTTCCATCCCGAAAGGTGCCAACCACCACCAAAAGCCCCACGTGTGTGCGCCCACCCAAAATGAAGGGGGAAGGGGAGGTCAGAGTAGGACCAGGGGAGGGGTCAGAGCCAGGAGCTCGCCCCTCCTCTCCGGAGGAAGCGGGCGGGCTGAGGGTTAACCCTTTTGTTCCAGGTGGGCCAGGCCACGAAGCCTTCACGCTCCCCTCAACCCCCACCCCGCCCCCAACACAGGCACAAAGAGAGTCCCTACAGGCGCAGGGGACCTCCGGTGCGCGCTGCGCTGACCACCCGGCGCCCCGAAAACGCCCAGCCGTCCCCTCCGTCCAGCCGATCCTTTTAATTTGCCCTGGAAAAATGTTCCACGGGGGATTCCATCGACCTACTTATAAACTTGGGAAATGTATTACATTCGGTCTCCGACAAAAAGGGGAGGGTATGGAAGCCAAAAAGTAGCGACTGTCTTCTCGGGAAACTCCGGGCACTGGAGATGGGCTCTGAGAGTCCCCCGGGGTGGCCGCGCACACCCGCCTGCTGCGGGGAAATTAGAAAGCAGGCGGGGAGCGGAGCGACGAACAAGGCGGGAGAGGAGGCTACGAATCCCCCTCCCCCAACGCGTACGCTAAAAACTTATCAGGCGACAATTTGGCGGGCCAGGATGGAGAGGAGATAGTGGGAAACCGCTTCGCTCCCAAAACCTCCGCGGTGAAGTGATGAAGTGGGAACAGAGTTGGCCCCGCGGCTCCGGGCTCGGCTGGGGTCCCGAACTCCCCTCGATCGGGTTAACGCTGGCCGCGGAAGCGCGGGCCGGGTCAGCCGCCGGAGCTCGCCCCGGCCCCCCACCTCTCTCCCCTTTCACACCCGGGCGCGGATCTGGAAAGCCGGGCGCTCCAGAAAAGCCACGCCAGACGGGAAGCCGGTGCACCCCAGCGGGACTGCCGCGCGCCCGCCACCCCGGCCACTGGGGGCTCGCACCCTCGGGCTTGCCGCGGTTATTTTTAGGAAGTCGGAAATCAAAGATGGCTGGAGGTCAGGCCCCGAAAGGTTAGGGCGAAGATCGGCAGGCGGCGCAGCCCGGACAGAAAAGGCGAAAACCAAAAAAAACGAAAAAAATTTTAAAGGGAAACATTGAGCCCTCCTCCCCCACCCCTCTGGGCCCTCCAATCCCCGGCGCAGCGCGGGTGGCCCGCACCCCAGCTCCTGAGGGTGGGGAGAGGTCGCGCCCCCTCCCCCCACTCGGCCCGGGAGGGGCGCGTGCAACAGATCGTCCTCCTCCGGGGGGTCTTCCAGGGGTGCGCCCCTCCTCCGGCCTCCTAGAAATGCCCCCAAGGGCCGGTGGAGAGGGTGGGGATCCCCCGGGGTTCTTTCTTTTGAAAGCGACGCGAGGGAGGGGGACCTAAATTACAAGGGGGGGAAACACCAGTGAGGGGAGTGGAACCAATTAAGTGAGGGGCAGAGGACAAGGAGAAGGGAACCTTTCGGGAACCAGGAGCGCGGCGGAGTGAGTGGGGGTCAATTTTACAATAAGCGGGGAAGGCTGGGGGTGAAACTTACACCAGAGGGGAGAAAAGGGAAAAAGTGTGAAATGTGCACCCGGCGGGGTGGTGGGAACAGGAGGCTGCCGCTCTTCTCGGGCACCGGGCCCCTAAATCTCGGTTCCTGAATTTGCGCGAAGCGCCCCGAAGCCCGAGCCCTCGAGGATCCCGCGGAGGTCCGGGAAGCTACCCTCCCCGGGCGTGCGCCCCAGCCCCACTCACCCGGCTCCCCCGGCGTGGGCGCCACTGGGGCTGCATCTGCAAACTCCGGGGTCGCCTGCTGCGCCTGCTGCTCGCCCTGGTCCTCCTCGGAGTTGATGTGCTGGAGTTTTGCCTGCTTGCGCCTCGACATGGTGCGAGCATCGGGGCGCCGGGAGAGCCGCAGTTATTTGCCCTCTCCGTCACAAATTCCTGGAGTTGGGAAATTTACCCCCCTTCGGCCGGAACGCGCATGTCCCAGTAATTATTATTATCAATAATGCATTGCGATTTATCATGAGCCCTGACAGCTGATTGGCCTGGGTCCAAGACCTCAGAGATCATTTAAATAAGCCCTCATTGATCAGGGAGGGGCGAGGCATTCTGGGCTTTGTAGTCCGGGCCTACTTGTGACAAAGGCGTGTTCATCAGGGGAGCGCAGCTAATTAGCATCCGGGCTCAGATTGGCTGGGGCGAGGACGGAATCAGAGGGGGACCCATCCTCGCTCCAGATATCTGAGTCCATGGAGAGGAAAAGAAAATGGGGGGAAATGCGTACTTATTAAAAAATAGCAGCGTACGTAAAAGTTTTGGAAGGGGCGTATTTGGTCGTATGCTCCACAGATTACTTTGTAAGGTCGATGTCCACCAGCCGAGAAGGGAGGTCTCTTCACCGTGGAATATTTTGGCTCAGTTTTCACATCTACGCGCGCACACACACACTCACCCAAACGTGAGATGTGACCCCTCCCATCTTTTTTGTTAAAAATGTTTAAGTTGAGTCTGAGGTTACTGAAGGAGGATGAATGGTGGTGTTTTCAGCCCTCCTACCCATCTCAACTCTTAAAGTGAGCTTGGAACTTCCAAAATTTCAGATTATCCCACCACCACCACCACCATGACTTACCTCCTTTAAAAGCTGATTAATAGCCCCCCTGTTCACAAGGACTGGTTTGTTGACACAATGCAAACCTTGTTTTGGTTTTTTTTTGACTTCAAAATGACTGGCTACTAAATATAGAAATGGCAAATTATAAGCAAGCATAGTGAGAGATAATATCAAAACAGCAAGCAATTGCATTTTCTCCCAGAAGCCATAAATGCCTGATAACATATTTTATTACTTCAATAATGCTCTTGCATCTCCCATGGAATAGCAATGGGGCTGTCACAGTATCTGGGTGTTACTAATCACTATTGGAATTTTTTTTTTTTTGCAATACAGACGTTATTACAGAAAAAGTGTATAGTTCAAAGTGATTGTATCATTCTGACACATGATGCCTGGAATCTTCTAAATTCAGGCTTCTGTATGTGTATATGACATACTACATGTATATACTTTTCTACCATAAATCCATGTGTATGTAATTTGGCTAACTGCTTTGCACAATGTACATGCTCAATAAAGTTTAAACGGATGATGAAATCGTCAGCCTGCTAAATCTTTGATTGGTCTTTCCATAACTGCTCTGGGCATGCGTCTTTGTTGGGCATTTACTTCATTGTAAGGAACTGTGCAGATATAAACCCTTCCTCCACATTTGTGCATTGCATTCTCTTGATTAGTTATTCATCACGTTCCCAGCTTGTAACTCATCAGGAATACAAGCAAAATGGAAAGCTGGGCTCATCAATGTGTTCACCTGGGCATTTGGACAACCCAAGGCAGAAAATAAATCAGCTTGATCATCTTTTTTATATTCGTGGCCATCAGTAAAAACTTATTGAAGGAAGATTAACCTCCAATTTTTGAATCTCTGAAAAAGTCTTGCATTATTTTATGTATAACATCTAAAGAAAGTGAGACAGAATTATAGCCCACAGCCAGATGGGAAAGGTAAGAATTTGATTTAATAATGCACAGAAGCAGCTTAGAATTCTGATACTGAGTAAAAAGGCCAATTAACACCTGCCTTGCTAACTAATCTGCTGATATTCCCAACACCTTTTCTGTGTAAGGTAGTGTGGCAGGAGATCTAACTTACAAATCTAAATGACTGTGCAGTCGGTTTACGGCTCAAATTATACTATTGGGTTAAGAAAATCTTCATTTATTATACAGTTATTTATATTTATTTTTTAGTAGATGATAGTTGTAACATGCTAGCCATTTCTGCTTAGAACAAGATAAAATTGTGCCACTTGACTCTCCAAGTGATAGTAATGGTAATAATTGATTGAGCCCTTTGTACATGCCACAGACCGCATTAAATAAATGCACTCTGCCTTGTTTTGTCTTCCCATGGAGGTTGGCCCTATTGTCTTCTCCATTTTGAAAGTGAGACTCAAAGACCTGAAGTGACTTAATTAGAAAGTGGCTGAGCTGGTGCTCAGTTTCTAAGTCTGACTCCAGAATTCTATCACATCCTAATATCTGTCTTCCAACTATAGCTGAATATGGACAAGATAGCTAAAGAAGAAAAATCGGAGCATAATATACATGTGTTAAATTGAAAGTGTCCTAGAAAAATCTTGGGTCTTCAGAAATCATTCCAACAGATGAAGTCAAGAAGTTTTCCTCAAATGGAAACCTTCCACAAACGTCATATCAAGAAAAGCAGGGCACAGTACATGTTTTGAATATACCCCTAGTTTAAGAGCTGCAGACAGGAGCTAGTTGGCAGAAAATAAAGTAAGTCCTAGAGCAAAGCAAGGGATGAATGGAGGGTGTAGCAGGAGGCAAGTCTCTAATCAAAAGTTGTTTCAGGCTGAGCACTGTGGCTCATGCCTGTAATTCTAGCACTTTGGGAAGCCAAGACAGGCGGAGCACTTGAGGTCAGGAGTTCAAGACTAGCCTGGCCAATATGGTAAAAGTCCGTCTCTACTAAAAATACAAAATCTAGTGGGTTGCGGTGGCATGCATCTGTAATCCCAGCTACTCGGGAGCCTGAGGCCAGAGAATCACTTGAACACAGAAGGCGGAGGTTGCAGTGAGCCAAGGTCTAGCCACTGGGCTACAGAGTGAGACTCCATCTCAAAAAAAAAAAAAAAAAAAAAAAAGTTATTTCTTAAACCAAAGGACCTGGGTGGGACCTGAGCTTGAAAAGAAAATGTTCAGAGCAAAGGATGATAGATGATATTAAACTTTTTCCTGTTAACATCCTTTGTTAGGTGATTGGGTTGATATAATCCAGTCATTGTCAATGTTTAATCCAGTCATTTTCAATGTTTAATATTGGAATATTAAAAAATTTAGGCCGGGCGCAGTGGCTCAAGCCTGTAATCCCAGCATTTTGGGAGGCCGAGGCGGGTG